AAATTATTTATTTATTTCGATTCATCACAAACTAATATTACAAATGATATAGTTGTAATAATAACAATAAAAACTTTCGTGATGCTTTGAATTCTTATTTTAAAAATTTCAATTAGATTTTAAACTTTTGCGCTTTTATATAATATGCGGAAAGTGTTAATTTAATCATTACAAGTTATTAAGCTTTAAAAATGAGAATAAAAATAATTCTTTGTTAATTAAATTATTTTTTGGCAATTGTTTTAGTTAATAATTGGATGACATTAGAGTCTAATTTAGAAGAGTGAAAAAAAAAAGTAACTGTTTTTTTTCATAATTTTATTAAATTTTCCCATAAGAAATATTGTTTTAATCGAATGCTTCTATCGTATGGCCATGTATAAATTAATTTATTTAGGAATAAGAATAAATAAATAATTTAAATTTAAACTTTTTTTTTAAAAAAGAAAAAGGATAGTTAAATATATTAGTAAATTTTAGATTAAAAAAGTAAAATTTTTATTGATTTACTAATGCATTATAACTTTTTGCAATAATTATTTATTATTTTCGAGAAATGATTGCAAGTTATTTATTAAAATTCTTTAATTAATTTTGATAATGTTTAATGCTTCTTTAAAGCAATCATTTTTGGTATTTATTTCGAGAATTCGAGAATTGATTTCATTCCAATATGCAATATTCATATTCGAATGAATCAATCAGTCTTCAATGACTTTCCATTCATTTTGTATTTTAAATTTAATTCGATATGTATTAATTAAACAAAATAGTATTTGAAATTCTGATAAAACTAATTGATGCGATTGATAGTAATTTCACAAAATATTTAGTACAAAGATTTCACTCATTTTCTATCTAAATTTAATTATCATTGGAGAATTAAAACCAAAAAATCTGATAAATTTTATTTTATCATAAAATATTGATCTAAGATTTGTCTTTCCAAAGAAATTTTTCTTATATGTGTGAAAAAATACAAGTATGAAAGTAATTAGAAAGTTAAATAAATTAGAATATCTTGTTAGTTTACTATCAGTAGCTGTTGTATTGATCTTTTATCAGTATTGATCAGTATTGATTAGTCTTTCTTTTTCGAAATTTATTTTGTGATATGAAAAAATGACTATAAATATTAAATTATTAGCTATGATTCATCGATCATTCCTTATTTCAATTTAAATTTTAATTTTTTCCTAATAATTTAACAGCAATAAGTATTGTCGTTCGCTTCTTTATTTTTTCCACAAATTTTTTCATAAAACTTTGCTTTTTAATTTTATTTCATCTTTACATAAAATCAAAATGTTAAAAATGGATGAATTAAAATTTCCAATAATATTTCTAATATTTGTTTTAAAAGTTATTATCCTATAATAATAATATGCAAATTATAAAATCATTTGATTTACTCTTCTAATTTTGATCTTAGATCATTTATAAAACAATTATTGCTTATCAATAAGTTATCATTTCATTACTTTTTTTTTCATTTAAATTAATCATTTAAATTGTTACAAATTTCTAATTGCTACCTTCGTCATTATAAGCTAAATTTTTAACTGAAAATAAATGAATTGTCAAATTCTGTTTTAAAATTAAATTTTCTAAATTAGTTTTACTGTTCTTTATGAAAATTATCGGATGCACATACTTTTATTTGAATTGTTGGGTGGGCAAAGTGAAGAAATAGAGTTAGAAAATATTATCATTAATTTTAATTGAAATTTTAATTATCTATAAATGAATTAATATTTATTATATTTTTAATCTATCAGTTCATTTTTTTTTCAAAATTCAAACCTCAAGTACTTCCTCTTTTTTTTTGTTTTTATATGCTTTAGATAATGTTTCAAAAATTTGAGCAAAGATGAGAAAATAAAAAAAGCCTAAAAGCTATGAGTTTACTTAAATTTGAATATAGAATTGAAATAAATAGCTTATTTATGAAATCCGAAGCTAATCTTTGCTCAATAATTAAAATTTTAATATCATACATCGAATTGAATTTTGATCTGATCCATTAAACTTTGTTAAACAATAGAAATGACTATATGGCATCACCAAAGTAGACGAGTCGAAAAATCAGTGAAATGTGAGAAATGAAAGAAAATAGAAGAGCCAAAAGATGACAGCGATATAGTTTATCCGAGAAATCTCAGACCGTATTGCTCATATTTTATAATACTTAACAACTAAAGACATAAAGTCAATTCCCGAGATATCTCAGACTGTTTTTCTCATATTTTATAGCACTTAACAACTAAAGACATAAAGTCAATTCCCGAGATATCTCAGACTGTTTTTCTCATATTTTATAGCACTTAACAACTAAAGACATAAAGTCAGTTACTTTCTCAATTCCTTTCTATACTTATCACTTAGATTCATCACATTTTAATTACTTAAAATGCCTTTGAAGATTTGTTTCAACAAAGTAATTTGACAGAGATGAAATCTTTTCAAATTGTTTTAAATTAAATATTTCATTTAATATATTATATCGTTTTTCCTTATCATTATCAGTATTTTATCATCCTTATATTTCCCCTTTCCTCTCTCTCTCTCTCTCCTTCTCTCTCTCTCTTACCCTTTTTTAGCATTTTTTTTTAACAAATCATACATAACATTTATAATTTTTTTCCCAATTTTTCTATTTTTTCTTTCTTTCATTCTTATGAATTTTCATTTTGTATAATTTCTTTTTCTTTCCTATGAAATTATGAATTTAATATATTTAATTATGCTTATCATTACTGTTCTTCTGAGTATAGTGATATATGTGATTGATAACAATTTGTCTGATATGATATGTGATTGATAACGATTCATCTGATATGATATGTGATTGATAACGATTCATCTGATATGATATGTGATTGATAACGATTCATCTGATATGATATGTGATTGATAACGATTCATCTGATATGATATGTGATTGATAACGATTCATCTGATATGATATGTGATTGATAACAATTTGTCTGATATGATATGTGATTGATAACGATTTGTCTGATATGATGTGTGATTGATAACGATTTGTCTGATATGATGTGTGATTGATAACGATTCATCTGATATGATATGTGATTGATAACGATTCATCTGATATGATATGTGATTGATAACAATTCATCTGTATGATATGATATGTGATTGATAACAATTTGTCTGATATGATATGTGATTGATAACGATTTGTCTGACATGATGTGTGATTGATAACGATTCATCTGATATGATATGTGATTGATATGTGGTTGATAACAATTTGTCTGATATGATATGTGATTGATAACGATTCATCAGATATGATGTGTGATTGATATGTGATTGATAACAGTTCATCTGATATGATATGCGATTGCTAACAGTTCATCTGATATGATATATGGTTGATAACAGTTCATCAGATATGATATATTAATGATTAAAAATGTGCGTGGAATATCTGAAAGTTATCAGTAGCTGTGATAATATTATCATTTATTAATTGATAAAGATTAATTAATTGCTAACAGCTTGAAATCAAGAGATTATACATACCATTTATATTTTGTTTTTTTCTAATTTTTCTTTTTTTATTATGATTTTTTTATTTTTTATAATTTCCTTTTTTTTTTGCAATATTGTAATATTATTATTTTATTTTGATTTTTTAAAGTTATATAAAATCTAATTGCGTTAATCCATCAAATAAATTATGTAAATATACAATCGATGTAAATTAGTAAATATTTAAATGAATGAATGTTTATAGCATATTACTTAATTCTAAAAATCAATTATACTTCAAAATACAAAGTTGGACATTTTTAATAGGAAAATTTTCACATTTCATAAATTTTATAATAGTTTTTTTTCTTTTATTTTCACATTTGAATTCGTAAATTAAAATAAAAAATAAAATGTATAAAAAGATGTGCATTGTAAGATATGAAATGTTTGATATTTATGTCAAACTTTTCATTAATTCAAATTTCAGAATTACCAATTCTTTTTAAATATTATTTGATTTAAAATTTAAAATCCATATTTTAAATGGAACACAAATAGGTAAAGTGAATAAATTGCAATTTTTTTTATAAAAATCAAACTACTTTTTCAAATATTCCAAACTTTTTTTTTCTACACTAATTTGAAAATTTGGCTTTGTAATTAAATTATAAACAAAGTCTATCAAATGTTAAAGGTCAACTTGATTGATAAGTTAACAAATCAATAGTTGATCTATTTTGCTCAATGTGAAATATTATCTTTTTTTTTGATTTAAAATTTTAAACAATGAAATTTATTTAATGTATTCGAGAAACATATTGTTTCTATTAACTGATAAGAAATACTTTTATGCATTTTTAAATTTAAACATCAATAAAATTAATGCGCAATCCTTCTTCAATCCTTTTTTTTTCTTCTAAATTTCAATATTAATATAGCAAAATGAAGCATTCAGTTTTTGTAAACTAAATTAGAAAAAAAAAAAGATTTAAAATTTCATTAATGCTTTTGAAACAATTTAGACTTTTATGATGACGAATTTTTCTTTTTTTTTTTTTTTCAAAACTTTTCAAATGAATTATCTAATTTGCAACATTGCAATGAAATATTTCAACAAATTTTTTTTCATTTATATTTATGAACTTTTTTTTCTTTTTTTTTTATTTTCATATTTCTATTACTTAGCTATTAGCTAATTTTGTGATTTACAAAAATAAAATATTAACCATACATAGAGAAAATTTTTTTAATTTTCATTTTTTTTTTTAAATTTACACTCTTTTTTTTCTTGATTTGAAAACTTATAACTTTTGCAAATTTTTAACTTTTATCTTCTCTTTCTTTCTCTCTCTCTCTCTCTCTCTTTCCCTTTCTTTTTTTTTGTGTGTGTGTGCAAATTTTTGCACAATTTTAAAAGTAAATAATAGATGTTAATTGTGAACGAATGAATAAATTTTAATTTGTTGAAAAATGAAAAATATCGGATACAAATAGAATTACATCGATTTTTTTCTCACAATTGGTTTCGCTTGCACAAAACGGAAAGATCGTGGATCCACCGATTTTCTACGTTGTCGTGGTTTCCACCTCAAAAAAAAAAATTTTTCAAATTAATTTAATTTTTATTTTACTGCTTGATTATATTTTTAACACTACAACAATAAACAGTAATAATTAATTAGCAAAAAGTAAATAATTTTTCCGCTTCTAATTGATTAATTTATTGATTTATCGATTGTTTGTATAATTTTTACAAACATTGTTGAAATAAATAATTTTACAAATTAAAATTTAAAATTTAAAATTCTTTTTACTTGCTTTCAGGATGACAATAGTTGACAAAACAAAAAATTGATACTAACTTATCGACACATTTATAAATTGCAGCAAAGGCACCCCAATAACGACATCCAATCTGTCCAACCATACCCATTTGACGATTTAAACATGCCAACAAATGTAAACGCTAAATTTTATTTTTTTATTAATAAAAATTTCAGAGAAACAAATTTGATTGATTGTTTTAAATTTTATGTAAAATTTTATATGAAAAAAAAAAGAATTGAGCAATTCATAATAATTATATACACAAACAAATATTTTATTTCCATATTTTAGTTTTTTCTATTTTTTCAAGTACCATTCTTTATTATGCTTATTTCATTTATATGCATTACTGAATATAATTAATTTTTTGCGCTAATCATAAAATCAAATATTTATATGTACATGAATATATATATATTAAAATTAATCCTAACAATAAAAAGAAAAATGAAAACTATAAATTTTATTAAAATTAAATTTTAAATTAATTCGAGAGCATAAAATTTTAAATTATTAAATTAAAAAAGTTTATTTTTTTCGCCTATTTTTATTTTGTAAATTTCTCTCATTTTAATTCTCTTTTTTCAAATTTTCACTTTTTCAAATTTTAATTTCAAATTTCAAATTTTAATAATAAATTTAATTTTGCTAACTTGTGTTTGTACCATTCTTGCACAACGATGTTGTCCATTTCGTATTGCTAAATCTTCAGCTGTATGACCCATACAATTAGTTAATTGTAATGCAGCTAAACTCCAACCCTAAAATAATTTAACTTTTTAAAAAACAAAAAAAAAAAATTTAATTTTTTCTTTTTTTTTCAAATTTATTTATTTCATAAAATGAATATAAAAAAAAAAAAAATACCTTTGCAAGTGTATCAACCATAAAATTCATTAATTCATCGCGACCTTTCATTGCTGCATACATTAGCGCCGTATTGCCAAGCCTATCTTGTGCATGAAAATTGCAACCATTCTGCAAATTAATTCTTAAAACAAATTTAATTTCATTTTTGTTTCTTTTTAAGTTTTATTAAAATTAAATTCCATATGAATTTTATCATTGTATTAAATTGATAGCTCGAATTTTTGTATTAAATTATTTCGATATTGTATTAAATTATCTCGATTTTGTATTCAATTATTTCATTATTGTATTAAATTATCTCGATTTTGTATTCAATTATTTCATTATTGTATTAAATTATCTCGATTTTGTATTCAATTATTTCATTATTGTATTAAATTATCTCGATTTTGTATTCAATTATTTCATTATTGTATTAAATTATCTCGATTTTGTATTCAATTATTTCATTATTGTATTAAATTATCTCGATTTTGTATTCAATTATTTCATTATTGTATTAAATTATCTCGATATCTCGAATTTTTGCTTGTAGCAAAGAAAATATTCCTTTTTTCATCAAATTTGAATGAATTGTTAAAATTGATTTCTTACATACACACATACACACACACACACACACACACACATACACACACACACATACACACACACACATACATACATACATACATACACACATATATATATTTTACATTCCATAAATTTTCAGATTATTTTTGAATTGATAAAAAAAAAAAACTAAAATTAAAATTGATAATTGTAATTAATCTTACAATTTTAGCAATTAATAAGCCTTCTTCAGTCCTATTATCCTCAATGCATGCGTACATTAGCGCTGTTCGGCGTTCTCTTTTATCTTGAAAATTGATTTCTGCGCCACGATCAATCAATAATTGAATGTATTTGAGCTAAAAAATTTTTTGATTTCAATATTTAATAAAAATGAGAAATTAGAATATTCTTCATATATTAGCAAAAGTAGCAATCACATATTATTGCACGTGAATTTTACACGTAGTTTACACGTAATACGTCAATTCATTGGAAAAGTTTGATGCAAAATTTTAACATTGTTTATAAAAGTTTTTTTATGAATATTTAAAAATGTGCTCGAAAAAATGTATTTACTTTATATTTTTCTTTCATTCATATCTCATTTCTTCATCATTCTTTTCTTTTCTTTTTTTTTTAAAGAAGTATGCTAAGTTTAAGATAATTTTAAAAAATAATTAAAATCAAAAAAAAAAAAGAGGAAAAGTTAAATGATATTAATAATAATAAAGATACAACGTACTCGGTTTTCTTTATCATCGAGATATTTAATTGTTGCTATAAGAAGTGATTCGCCATTTAAATTAATTTCATTGGGATTAGAATCTGGTACTGCCTGTAATATTTAATTAAAAAAAAAAAAACAATACAATAGGGTTTAACATTATAATTAATATTTAATAAATGCTTTGATCTTGGATATATTTGATAAATTTTACATTAATTTAATTTTGAAAATTAGCACACTGTTTTTATAAAATTGATAAAAAAATTTTTTTGTATGATAGGTAGCAAAAAATTAATATAATTAATGATATTAATGTTTATTTAAAATGCATTTCAAATTATAATACCTCAATTTTTTCTTTATAAATTTTAGGTAAATCAAGATTTGAAGCAAGTGCTTTAGCTTGAATTATATGAAGATGACCGAGGAGCCATTTTCGAGTGTCACCATCATCCGAACAAATTGATTTCTTTCCGGATTGCATCTGAAAATAAATATGCAGCAAATTAATCAGAATATAAAGTATCAAATTTAAATTCATTTAAAATTAAATCACAAAAAAAAATGTTTGCGAAAAGATAAATGAAAAAAGGATAAAATTGAAATGATCAAAAAATGAATATTGCAACGATGATGAATAACAATTGTACTAAAATGAAAAATTTTAAGAAAAATGGAATGCTTTCAAAATGAAAAGAAAAAGTACCAAAAAAAAAAAAGGAAAAAAATAGATTGGCCTTATTTGTTTAGAAAAAAAAAATAGAATGGCCTTATTTGTTCAGAAAAAAAAAACGAAAAAAAAACCAATAAATAATTGGAAAAAAGTGTAAATTAGTAATGAGGAAAGCAAAGGATTTTTCCTCTTTTTTTTTTGGCAATCTAAAATTGCAAATTTTTTTCTTTTATTTTTTTTTTTTTTAAAATAATAACACGAAATTGGTTCTTGTGAAAAAAAAATTAATGTAAACTTTAATTTTAAAATGTACAAATTTTTGTAGAAATTTCTAATTAAAAAAAAAATTTGTAATTTGTGAAATTTCATTTTTGAAATATTTTCAAAATTTGATAGAACAAAATTTTTTATATTTATACAATGAATTTATATTCCTTTAATATTTGTTTTTTTCTTTTGTTTTTTGTTTATTTATAAATTATTTGTAAATTTTTCTTCCCATCTATTATTACTACTATTTGGCTAATAAATATTTCAATTTTCACACAAATCTACTTATTGCCTTCTTTTTGTTATTTTAGAAGCCTAAACTTTTGAGCCAAAATTACTAAACTTTTAAGCCAAAATTGTTAATATTAATTCTTCTTTTACTGTTTACTATAAAAATGATATCATTTAATAATTTCAATAATTTCATTACAAAGTATACAATTTTATAAATTTCTTTTTTCTTTTTTTTTTGTATTTTTATTTATTAATTTATTTTATTTAAAAGAGATCAAAAAAAAAACTTTTTTTTGTTTAAAAGAAAAAAGGAAGGAAAATTGTAGCAAAATTGATGGATGTTGTGATTATACTATCAACAAAAAGGAAATAAGTGCAAAATCAAAGAACGTGGAATTCTTTTTTATAAAATTCATTGAAACGGAATTTTGAATTCATTGAAAAATAATAAGTAATTTTTGAAAAAGAGAAATTAATGATTAATTATTGAAAAAAAAAAAAAAAAGGAAGTAATCGTCAGTTGATTCTCATAAAGTAATAATTTATTCATGTTTTAGGTAAAAATGATGTAATTGAATAAAAAAGTATTAAAATACATTTTAAAAAATTATTAAATATATTAAAAAAAATAAATCAACTTGTAAACAATTGAAAATAATAACAAAAATTGAAATGAAAATGAAAAGAGAGAGAGAGAGAGAGAGGTAAATATGAAAATAATTGAAAGAAGAAATTTCAACAACAGCGATTCCATTAAACTCATTGACTCTTTTCAATGATACCAGACATTCCGATTGGAATTTTGCAAAGTTTAACCATTCAAATTCTATGTGTAAATTAATTTTAAACACTAATTTAAACTCAATTATTCCATTTATTTATTTTTTGCTAAAATTAATTACAATTTTATCGTTTAAAACAGAAATGACTAGCATGAAAAAAAAAATTGAAAAAACGATTATTAATCAATGCATTGTGTGAAATTTTATAAAAAAAAAAAAAAGATTTTATTACCTGAAATATACCATAACAAATTACTATTACTACATTAGGTGACATTTTAACAGTAAATTAATTAAGTAATGTTGACATTACTTAATTTATAACATGACACATTGTTCTCTTCCAATTGTAACATTTAACTTTTAAATTTGAACTTACTCAGAATATTGGCTTATACCTGATTTATTTTATTTAAAATTGCTGTTTAACTCTGATTTTGCTTGATACTATTGTGATATACATATTTTGATGCTATTTAAACTTATAATTTAAATGATTAGAAAGTTAAATTTCAATATGGATGATAATATCGCCAAAAATACAAATAATAAGTGTAACAGCGGCAGTAGTGTTGGTAATAATAATAATAATAATATTAACATTAATGATAATAATGGTAATAATAACAATAATAATAGTGGTGATGATAATAATAATAACAATAATATTAGTAGTGGAAATAATAGTATTAATATATATAATAAATAATAATATTAAATAATAAATGAGAAAGAAGAAAGTGAAAAAGATGGATAAAGCAATAGCGATAGTATTAGCAATAATAATGAAGCATTTTAGCATAATTTTTAAATTTGAAGAGCACTTTAAGAAAGCTACAAGTATTATCAAAGAAGTCTATGCGACATTGTAATGACGGAATTATGCCAATAAAGAAAAGACTACTTACTTTTTTCTTTATTTTGTTTTGTTCTGTAAACTTTATGTTTAATGTAAACTTACGAAAACTAATTTGTTCAATCTAAAAAAAAAAAAAAAAAAGAAAAACGAAAGAGCTTTCTAGCTTATTTTTATAAGGCGATAAGCTGCATATGTGTTGACAATTTACAAAGTTGACAAAGTTGCTTTCTGCGCCTCTTTCCATTTTAATTTTATGACAAAAACAAAAAAAAAAAAATCAACGAATATTAGGCAAAAAGAAAATAAATTATTTTTAATGAACAAATATGAACATATGCATTTATATTTATATGAAATTCATTGTTAAATTTTTAGATTATGAAAAGTTTTTAAAACAAAATATCTGATAATAGTGATAATAAGTGATAAAATGATAAAATATGAAAAAAATAAATAAATAAACTTATAATTTCTAGTGAAGCATTTGCTTAAAGCATATCAACAAAACAAACATTTTGAAGGCTTATTCAAACTTTAATATAATATTTAATAAGCATATCACAAGTAAATAAAAAGCTTAAATTAAGTATTCACTTAAAAGCTTATCATTAGAATAATCATTAATAATTTTAAATTAAATATAGCAAATAAATAATATCAATGCAAAATTTTGTATCATAAATTTAATGAATAATTAAAAGAATAAACAACAATTTTTTTTTTTTTTTGATATAATAAATAAACTATTCATTTTATTTATTTATTTTTTCCTTTTTTTTAAATGTTTTTTTCTAGAAGTTTAATGTGGTAATCTATTCTGCTAATGATTAAATTAAATTTTTTATTAAAATTAATATAACAGAAATTAAAATTATAACATTTATTACAATTTTATTAAAATTAAATAATAACAAGGAAAAAAAAAGAAATTATATTTGTTTATTTCAATACGAAATTAACAAATAAATAACATTGTTTTGTAAACAACATTGTTTGTTTTATACTTATTAGCGTATGGCGTATGGCTATATTACAACAATTTCATTTTCTCAATTTAATTACATCCTATTTCGATCATTCCTATCCTTGGCTATTTTTTCGTTTTCAGGGCCAAGAATTTGATAGTAATAAAAATACCACCAATTGAATTTGAGCATAAAATAATTCATTTTTGCATAAGTTTTTTTTTTTTTTGAAATTTTGAAAATTAATTCTATTTAAATTGAATAAATGAAAAATTTTTTAATTTAATTAATAAATTCTAATTAAAGTAATCAAAGTTTTCTAAAACATTGCGAAAAAAAAAGAAGGGGAAAGAAAGAAACAAAATTTGAAATGATCGAAATATTTTAAAATGAAGAATTGAAATGACTTTGATGTTTATTATTACCCAGATGATAATTATTGCTTTTCTTTATTTCATTTTTTAGCATCTAATTCAAATTTAATTTTACTTTTGCAAAGATTCTTTCAATATAATTTATATCTATCACATATATCGGGTAAATAAATAAATAAAAAAAAAAAAAAAAAATTTCGGGCATTTTTCATGGGAATTTATAAGAAAGTATTGCTAGCATTTCAATTTATTTAGCATCACTAAATTCTAAATTTTTACATTTCTGCAAGCATTTGGTAATGAATAAAAGGAGATGAGAGAGAGAGAGAGAGAGAGAGAGAGAGAGAGAGAGAGAGAGGTGACAAGAGAGGACAAAGAGAATGGGAAAACAAAATTGTAAACAAAAAAAAAAAAAAAGTGACAAATATTTGAGAGAGAGAGAGTGACAAAAGGACAAAGAGAAAGGGAAAACAAAATTGTAAACAAAAAAAAAAGTAAAAGTGACAAATATTTGAGAGAGAGAGAGAGAGAGAGAGAGAGAGAGAGGACAAATCTCGTCATCAATGAAAATAACTATAATTGAAGCTTCATGCACATGCATATCAATTGTCATGCATTGAAATGCAAGTAAGTGTTGACTAACTTTTCACTCTTTATACTGATGAATTCTTCTTTTTTATTTTTATTCTGTTCTAACTTAAATTCATATTTGTTATTTCGCAGTTAATTTTTTTAACTATCAAAAATTCAAAATTTGAAGAAAAAAAAGAACGATGAAATAAATAAAGGAAAAGAAACAAAGAATAAATGAAAAGTGACGAGAAAAAAAGAAGAAAATTTTTTTAAAATTTTTTTGAACTTTTTTTTTGCTGTTATGATAAAATATAATTGACAATTTTTTCAAAATATTTTATAACAAAGGAAAAAAAAATTCTTTTAGAATATAATTATCTTAGAAGTATTGGAATAGCAATACGATATTTGTTTAATTTAAAACATTTATATTTCGTTTTATTTCAAATTTATGAAATTTATTCAAAAAAAGATGATAAAATAGAGAAAAATTTTTGAAATGTGTTTAAATAAGTTTAAAAAAAAATTTTAAATCATAGAAAATACTAAATTTCATTAAGTAATAAATAAAATGAAAAAGAAAGTGATTAAATAATAACAAGAAAACAGAAAAAAAAAAGTAAGAATGTTTATTTTAAATTAATTAAGTAATTCAATTTTAAATATTTTATAAATGAATGATTTTAAATTAATTTAATGAAAAAAAAGAGGATAAGAAAAGAAAATCAAAAAAAAAAAGACAAAGTATTCTTAT